TGCAGCGTAAAATTGATGGGGAATGGAGTGCACAACAATTGCTGACGGTAATTGATGCGGACACCAATTGATGGACGGGGAGGAGCAGAATCATGGGAGGCAGGTGTTATCCATCCTGGGCATGCCCGCAGATCAGGGAGCCGAGCAGGATAATCAAAGAGTGCTGAATTGGTCATTATTTATGTACAAAATACCTGCAATCAGAGGCTTTTTGCAGGAGCGATAGCCGGGCCAAAAAGGCCAATATACGGGGCCCCGGGCCGCCCCAAAATTGAAAAATTGCCCTGCCAAAAACCTGAGGAATAGGGTGCATTTACCCATGGGCTGGCTAGTTCCACCTCAGGAGGCAAAGCTAAATATGGCTACAGCCAGTTACTTCATGCAAAATGTTACAGCTACGGCTCTCCATCCTGATTCATTCACACGCTTTCTCCATGTGTTAGTGGCACCACTTTTGAGTGGCCTGACCCTCGAGATCCGGCCTAATGACCTGGTTGTTGGGTCACACCCCGAGGAGCTATGTCAGCGACGGTGCTTAGGTCAGCCTGATTGTGACCATCACAGCAAGCCCTAGCCCAGGTGTTGAGAGGAATGGCCACAGCGAGTGGCCGGCGACTGAAGATCCATCTAGCGATAGTTGAACCAAGCACATGTAATGTGGTTCAACTAGTCCGGATAGGGGCATGGCAAGTAACCGTGAGAGTTCCGAGTGGCCCAACGGGATTAACCCGGGTTTACCGAAGGGGCATAGCGAGTTGAACAGGAGCGGATTATTGCCAGGCGAGTGAATGATGGATCTCCGGATGTTCGACAGATGTTCCTTTGAACTCTACGCTCCATAGATTGAGAGATGTAGGAGAGATGGGTGGTGAAGGGTGGTGGTTGTCTCGTAACAAGAATCTGAACCGTCCAGGACTAGCGTGCATCAAGCCCGCAGAGTCGGACCCAACAATGGTACTCTGCAAAGGTCTGCTAGAGGCCTGGGTGCAACCGGATAACCACCACCGAGGACGTCATAGACTGAAGACAGGAGTCAGAGTAGGGGTTCAGAATAGGGGTCGAGAATAGGAGACAAGGGTTATGACGAGCGGAGCGAGGGAGAACCCGAGTCAACGAGATAGCTGAAGTGAAGGAGCCTTCAAGCAAGTACAAGTCCAGAGTAACAGGCCAAGGTAAGGCCGGAGAATAGACGAGATAGAATCTACTGTACAGGGAGATTCTACTCTACTTATATACTATTTGATAGTCAGGAGCGTATCTATGTGATAAATGCGACACTGAGGGGAAATCAAGGAACGCAGGGGCGTAGTGACGCGCCAAGAACATAGAGGGGTAGTTGTGATGCGCATCGGAACTACCACGATCGCACCTCTCGATCGGGTTTGCGATAGTTGATGGAGTGTCGTGTGACCGGGTTTACCGTGGGTTAATCCGGGCAACTGAGCCGAATCATGACAAGCTAGCAAGTCACCTATACAACCCCAAATTTGCACAGAGATTCACCACCCTCCATGTGCAAGCCCTCTTCCCTCTCAGGACCAACACCTCCTTCTTTTGCCAGTTTTCCAATCTGGAAACACTTAGTGTCAATTTCCAATCTCAATATGGGGTTCTTCCAACATTTTGGGACGATCTGGCAGATCCTAAATAAGGGGGCCCCACCTTCTTGCCCTGTCTGCGCCACCTCTGCTTGGCTGATGTCGCTCCAGGCCATGCCCAGGAGCTAATCCTGCTCCATCAGCAGGCTTCTCAGCCCCAGCTCTAGTGCCTCAAATTGCTCTTTTTCAAGGCAGACAATGTCTTCACCGCACGCACTCCCATGTGGAGCTATTGGCTCACTTCCAGCGTGCGTCGCCTTTTAATTCCAGCATCCATCGATATTTCACAAGGCCACTCTGCATTAGGTCTTTTTGAAACCACCAATTTACTTTAGTATATTTAATTTAGTAGGTAGCTCGCGACTATTCCATGTCCTCTAGATCTACATCCGGAATCAAAATCCCTGGCACCACAATTTGCAGTACAGGATCCAGAGACCCATCTGATAGGATCTCACACACCTCCTTGTATGCATGCCACATGTGTTCAATGTCCATGGTTGGCTGGTAGAGACGATCAGCATGGAGGGCTGTGTAGACTGTCTCGCAATCCTTGTTAGTCAAGAACGTGATCGCTGATAACCAGAGCACGACAGTGGCAAGTCCCCGAGTGGTAACCCGCTCGCTGGAGGCATGACCATCCTGGACAATCAAGGCAAGCCCTGCTTCGAGCACAGTGTTGCCCTATAATGCAGCAAGCAGTTCCGGAAGATGTGATTCCAGGTGCTCAAAGAGTTCTGATGTCTGCGCAGATGCAGGAAGGAATGAGCGCAACTGTCTGTTCCAATGGGTCATTGCTGCAGGCCATTTCAGCAGCGCAAGCTGCGAGTGGTGAATAAATATCTTGGGACCTTATACATCAATACGATAAGATGATAAAAGTCAGAAGTTGACACAAATTGAATGTTTCTGAGAACCTATTTAGGAATAGTAGCTGAACCGTTTGCAATTTTTCCATTCTGACAATTTTGCCAGGAAGCTATGATCTGTACGGTCATGATAGTATGCGACTTCAAAAGGATTGGCCCAGTGGATATGGAGCTTGGTAAACTGGGGACTGAAAGTCTTTGATGGATGGGCCTAAAAAAGTAATCATGTGGACATTAAAGGCTTGGTGTGGGGACGTTAAGGCTAGTAAGGGAGGGCAGAATCAGGGCTTCAGTCGGACCGTAAATGGTATATATATGGGCACATATAGTTCAGTGCCAGGACAGACAAAAACATGTAATGCACAGGGCATTAACCATTGTCGAGAAGGACTAGAATGGAAATCACAAGGGACAATAAATGTTAAATGATGGGTTGCAAACCCCAGAGCTGTGGTACATAGAGGGACCAATAGCCATACCTGTAGGACCTAAATGGTAAGTCGGGGGACATTAATGGTACACGCAATCCCATATGTACCTTATGCAGCATATGTCAGCTTTAGATGGCTTATAACCTCCCTGCGGGGAGGTTATAACTCATCACAATCCCTCACAAGCCAGTGAGCATCCTCAAGCCGTTACAACTCAAACTGCATTTTTCCGACACACTACTTTCCAGAACCCACATCACCAGACCAGATTGTGTGTGTGAATGCATTCCTTCCTTGGTAACTGATTCTTGGGTCTATAATCCCCAAGATAATGTGTTCCAGAGTGGTCCAGGCTGATAACAACACCTGTAATGATGGATGGGGAAAAATGTACCCATTATAATGTGGGTTAGTCACACTGGAGGCAAAGTACGACGCACTTGAAAGCCAAGTGCGTCCAATGCATGTACTTTGCAGTTGGTACAACAGGTAATGAAGAGTAGACAAAGTTCTTTGTCTGCTCTTTGTCAACCCAAGAGACTTTGTCTACTCTTTGTTCGCTGTCTTCACAGGTGCAAAGTACGTGCATTGGACGCACTTGATTTTCAAGTGTGCTGTACTCTGCCTCCGGTGTCACTGCATTGCCAATACTCTCCACCAAAAAACAAAACAAAAAAATAGTAACTGTGAGACCCCTCTTATATAAGTCTCCAAGTGCATTGTCTCTGCAAAGCAGAGACTGGGGCTTTGCACAACTTGTGTGGATCAAATAGCAGCAGATATGGCACATGACCCATCACTCCCTCTGTCTTGACCATGATGTCTCTGTGCAGCAAAGGCTCCTCCTTTCCATCCCCTCTCTCCACACGTAGTGCAGAGTGAAGGTGGTCAAGTCATTACGCTCTTAGAGCTTGAGTCTGTTACATCTAGTTAACTTGCCAGGTCACATTGAACACAGAACTATTCAGTGAATAGCAGTATTTGTGTGCTTGCGCTTAGCATTGAGTAGCTGTGCTCAATTATCATTTTACAGCTGTTTGCAATGAGGATGACACTTCGCCAAAACTCATAAATAAGAGCAAATTTGACCGGCCCCTTTGCTCTCGGCGTTGCGCACTCATTTCTCCATGGATTTTGTTAATTTTAGGTGCGTTCGAGAGGGCGTAATCCGCGCTTTCGATCCATGACAGTATCGCCGGGTAGTTAGCCACTCCTGAGTTTATGAATATTTGGTTCAAACGATTCTGACCCAGACTTTAATCCACCATTACTCCGTCAATTCTCACCCAATTTCTGTAAAATGAAATTTACCTCGGAGGTGGTCCCATGGCACACGTTTCCATGGCCAGAAAAAATGGTTTAACCCCGAAATCGGGGTACTGTGAGTCACTTCTCGAATAAACGGGTAAAGGTCACGCCCGCAGCGGCCAAGATCATTTTGACCAAATCCCTTACCACAGGAGTGCATGCCAGAGTCCCAGAATTGATACGGGTCTAGAATAAACCGGATTGGTGAAGAACTCGCAGAGCACCGGGGCTAACAACATACAGGTGAAAACAAACAGTGCAGATTTCACGAACCTAAATATTTTATATTACAACATGGGTATGGATGGAAAGCCCTGCTTAAACCCTCTCGAACGCCGTCAGGATCGAGGTAATTGGGTGGGAAATGAACAAGGTAGGAGCCCGGCAAGTGGCGGGATCAAAAATGATCTTTTCATTCTAAATTTAGCGAGTGTCATCCTCTCTGCAAACAGCTGTAATGATGTGTATGGAGAAGATTCAGGAACACTATAGACAAACTAGTTTTTTGAATCTTAGGGACATGAAACACAGAGAAATAGAATTTCTGGAGCAGAGAAATTTCATTGTGCAGTGTTCACTGGTCCCAGGCCAGGCAAGGAGGATTGTAGAACACAGACTGAGGATCAAGCAGCAAACTCTCCAGCTCAGCTGCTTCTTGAACAAGTCTTGAGTTGGAGCTCCTTGCCAAACCTCTGGACCACCTTTGAACAGGTATGATAAACTGGACTCACATGCACAGAGCTACACTCATGTCATACCATGATTATGTAGTCAAGATCTTGTGACCATCTATCGGCCCAATGGTCTAGACGTATGATACACGCTTCGGGTTAAATCTCATGATTGAATAATCATCCTCTGTGTGTGGTCCCGGGTTCAATTCCCGGTTGGGCCCTTTTTATACCCTTTTTGGCCTATCTTAAAATGTTGCCAACGTTCCTAGCTCCCTTCCTGAATATTTTCAGAATTTTTACGACCGTATTCCACCCGCAAATGAAGGAGAAAGTCAAGAGAAAGTACGTGCGAACCTTGTTTGATCCCGATCACTAACACTTTTCAACGCCTTCGGTGTAAAAAATGCTTTTTCATGTCTCCAATGCGATAATTAACAAAATGCTCAAGTCCAAATGCTACTACATAACGTTACAGCTCTCCGTCGGACACAGAGTGTCCATCCATCCAGGCTCTAATGCGGCGGCCCTGACGGCAATGGCGCCGCCCCGCCTGCGGATCTCAATGGTATACTCGCGATCCGGCTCCCCCGCCGCAGGCACATCATACCACCAGCGCAAAACCTGCCCCTCGAGCGCCCACCGGCCAGCGCTCACAACAACATCCACATCCACGAGCTCCGCGCCTTTTTCCGCGACGACGCGCAGGTCCGGCGGTGCGACGTCTGTGCTCGCGCTGCTACTGCTCGTGCTCGCGGTCATATCCTGCGTCTCGTGCAGCGCGGGCAGCGCCTCGAGGTTGATCGTCGACGCGTTCGCCGACGCCTTGCCACTCAAGTGCGAATGCGGCGGGCGCGCGTCCTCGTCTAGACTTGAAATGCTTTCTGCCTCGGTGCTCTGCCGCAGTCGGTGCCCGCCCGCAAGCAGCCGCGCATTCGCATAGTGCACGAGCGGCACAAAAATCTCGCTCGCGGGGTCCTCCTCGACGACCGCATCGGCGCGCAGACGGTCTTCCGCGCGGACGCGCACGACGAGCTTGAAGTGCGCCGAAGCAATGTCGAACGCGAGGTCGCGAGGGACGCCAACGAGCTTGACGGGCCACGGGCGGCAGAACGCACGCACAGCACGCGCGCCGTCGGTCAAAAAGTCGTACGGGTTCGCGCGCCAGCCGGCAGCGCCGATGCCGATGCGGCCCGGCAGCGAGAGCGACGAGTCGGCGAGCGTCACGCTAGTCTCGACGCCAAAGGGCTTCTGCGTCTTGAGCAGCCCTGCCTCGCTGCCGTACGCGGCGGTCGCCATGCTGTCCCCGCCGCGGCGCATGCCGTACATGGTGCTCTGCGGGGTGTTCATGTCGTCGGCGCTCCAGAGACTGAGGTCTTCCATGTTCCAGCCGTCGCCCCACTCGTGCGTCGAGTCGGGGCAGTACGTCCACACGGTCCAGTTGATGGCGTTGGGCCCGTCGGCGGCGTTGAGGCTCGCGTCGAGGGCTTTTTCCTGCTGGCTATAATCGCCGACACCGCGGCCGCGCTTGTCGCCATAATACGCGCGCTTGCTGTCCATGTCGAACGGGGTGCCGATCTCGCCGATGATGGTTGGAAAGGCACCGAGGGTGGCAGCGTCGCCCTTGAGCATGGCGAGCTGCTCCTGCAGCGACTTGCGGATCGCGGCGGAGCCGATCTTGACGGCCTGGAGCGCGGAGCGGTAGTTGCCGCGCAGCAGCCCGAGCGCGTCCGCGTTGAACCAGTTCCAGTGGCGCGTGATGAGGGTGAGGCCGTCGTAGTAGTGGCCCGAATACGCGCCGCGGCCGGCGAGCACGGTGTCGTCGAGTACTGGCGGGCGCGCAAACACGGGCGGCTGCACGAACAGGATCGCTTCGGGGTGGGCGGCGCGGATGCGACGGGCGAACGTGACAAAGTGGGGTTTCCAGTAGTCGTCGATGAACTCGACGGGGCCGTCGGCGCCGGGGAGGGTGTGGAAGTACTGGGGAAGCATGAGGAAGCCGGTCTCGATATCCCAGACGCCGTGCTGGGCCCACAAACAGGTGCCAAGGGCCCAGCTCGGTGCGCGCGTCCAGCCCCACTTTGGATGGATGCCGTTCGGCTCGTCTTCGGGGGACGCCCAGATGGTGCGACCTTTGGGGTCGATGGTGACGGAGCCGTCGCGGGCGGGGCCAAAGGCACCAAAGGTCCAGTTGTCGACGGTCTGGGGCTGGCCCATGCCGAGGCGGAGGCTCTGTGCAGGGGTGGGGTAGGTGCCCTTCTTGAGGGTGGAGCCCTGGGACTGCGGGTTCTGTGCGAGGTCGGGCCAGCCACAGAGGCCCTCGAAGGGTTCGTTCATGCTGTCCCAGCCGATAACACAGTCGTCGAGGAGGTCGCCCGCGGCGCGGATGCGGTCTGCGAGCTGGCCCATGGCTTCAATGTAGTGAGCCTGGAGGTAGTCCTGGATGTTCTGGCCATCGAGGACGCAGCGGGGGGCAAAGTCGCGGCCGGCGAAGAAGAGGGTGAAGAGGGTTTGGGAAAGGAGGCGACCGTAATTCGTTGACCAGATCATGGCGGGGAGCGTTGCGGGGTCGGGTGCGTGGGCGAGGGGATACTCGCAGTGGACGATGGCGGCCTGAGTGGCGGTAAAGTTGCGGGGGTTGATACCGCACGCGGCAAGTGTCCAGAACGGCGCGCCTGAACCGCCGGAGAAGCGCGACCACTGGGGTGTCTGAGCACCAGGAAAAAGGAAAAACCAAGCAAACGCACGATGTCCTGGTGGGGGTCCATGTACACGCGGAAGCCGTACTCCTTGCACTTGCGCAGGACGCGGACGGTGTAGTCCATGAAATCATAATCGAATTTACCCCTAGCTCCCGGTCAGCACGCGTCTGGCAGCAGCTAAAAGAGAGACGCACGGGCCCGCGTGCTCGAGGGATTCCCAGGTGACAGGGAAGCGCAGCATGTTGAATCCCCAGCCACTGAGACGGGCGAGGTGGACGTCGGCTGAACCGTCGTCGATGTTGAGTGGTCGACCAGTAAACGACTGGCCGCCAGCCTCTGCATTGTCCCAGAAGCCGTCGAGGACATACGAGGGGCGGCCGACGGGGGCCTTGGATGAGCCCGAGAGATTCACGCCACGGAGGAGGAGGGTGCGGCCAGCATTGTCGACAAAGTTGCAGTCTGTTGTGTGGATGTAGGCGGGGCCGGTGGGGGCCCCCGTGGCGGGCGAGGAGGCGGGGACAGAGGGCATACAAGGTGGTTAATTACAAGGAGATTAGTAAATTAGTGGAGTGGGGTCGTACGACGTCTCAATCGGGCTTCGTGGGAGTTGTGTGTAAATAACGGTGACGTTCGGGATTTGTAAGCCTTAATTATAGCAATATTATTTTGTAGTTCAACCAGAATAAATGATATCTAGTACGGCACATTTCTAAGGTATGATTGCGTCGAGGAAGCTACTCGAAGGGCTTCTACCTCCCTGAGCGCATTCTTAGCGAGAGCGGTAGTGAGGCCCTGGTTTCCAATCAAAATATCCACCGCGCCATACTTGTATACCCACCCCATCGGCCATGACCCATCGACCTCCTGCATAGATAACAGCCGCTCGTGGTCGGCCTTGTCGCAAAGACCCACCACCGCTGCCGCCAAGATTCGCATGGAGAGCGCAAGCGCGTCTCCCGCCGAACCAAAGAGTTGTGCGATCTTCAACGAGAACAGGGGACCTAGTCGCTGCCGGACGGCGGGGGAGACGGAAATGAGGCGGGAGAGGAAGAAGAAGAATGGGTCGGGCCCGTAGTAGTACAGCGTGCCGTCCGCGTACGCCTCGTGTTTCAAGACGTCGTGGACCCAGTCGAGGCTGGCGCCCAGCTCTTCCCCGCGGCCATTCATGTAGAAGAACGTCAGCACGTTGACGCAGACGACAGGATCTGACAAAATAATCAGGACGGATCGCGGTGAAGAAATAAGGGGACGCTCACCTATGCGGGGCCGCGTCATGTCGAAATAGGTGGCGACGATGCCGTCCTGGTTCCTGTACGTGAGGATCTCGTCCATGACGCTGTGCTTCGTCGCCTCGTCAAAGTGTGGTGATATTGAGAGCGCAATGGAAGTCGTGTCGAGGTCGCAAGGGAACGACGATGTGGTCAACACCCCGCCAGCTATGAAAGGACAATGAGCACACGATAATAATCTGCAGGCATTAAAGACACTCACTCTGGAAGAAGTTGCTTAATCGCGGATACTCGACGTAGTCGACGAGACTCCGGTCGCCCGTGGCTTCAAGGATGAGGAGCTGTGCAAAGTTCTCCTCCAGAACGACGCCCGTGTTTGTCAAAGATGACATCCGCTTCGCGTTGGACCGTAGCCATTGCTCACCAGCGACGACGGGGTCGCGAAACAACACCTTGAGCTGGCGCTCCACCTCGTCAAACTTCTGGAACACGATGCCCTTCAGGCCAAGGGAGCGTGCAGAGAGAACGTTCTCGAGCTTGTCGTCCACAAAGGCCGTCCGCTCAGGGTCAATTCCCGTTGCGGCGATGACCTGTCGGTAGTATCCGAGGTTGGGTTTGCGCTCGTGCGCCGCGGCAGACGTGAAGACGTGCTCGAAGAGGTCCCAGTCCTCGCGCCGCCCCTTGTACCGCAGGACTTCCCAATCGGGCGCTGAGATATTGGACATGGCGTAGAGGCGAGCGCCGGTCGTGTTCTTGAGCTCGTGAAGCATGGCGATCATGTCAGGGTCTCCGCGGAGAGAGTCGCGCGCGCCCTGGAAAGCTGCGGCGACCTCGCTCGACTCGATGTTGAACTCGCGCGCTACGAGGTCGTAGCACTCGACCTCGCCGAGATTCCCCTTCTCGTACTCGAACCAGGTGGCCGATCGCAAGATTTTGCGGAGTGTGCTGCCGGAGATGGTGGTCTTGGTCTCAGCGGACCAGGTGAAAAGGACGTCGCCAATGTCGAAGATAATATTGTCGCATTGCCGGCGAGAAATTTCGGGAAGGAGTTCCTTCTGGACTGGGGGCGGGGGCGAGGTCGAGGGCGATGTCGCAGGCGTGGAGGCGTAAGAGGTAGCGCTCGGGTCGGAGGAGCTGGCGGTAGACGACATGCTAGGGAAAGCTTAGGTTTGGGAAATGGACTATTCGTCCAGTGGGCGTATGATAAGTGTTCGGGACGAACTCGCCGGCTCGAATAATCACTCTGAAATGGAATGCTCGTCGAGTTTTTGTGTCACCTCCAACCTGCATAAC